ACAAACCAACTACAATAGTTTACTATTTTGCCAATTAAATAATATCAGAATTTTAATTTTACTATTTTTAAAATATTCTCTATACCCAATTACTATACAAACACACATTAGATATTTCAAATTATTTGTTTTAAGTTTTAAAAAATTGTTTGGAGATGGATTGTTAAATTCCACTTCAAATAAATGTGACTCTTCATGTGTATTTCTAAATTTTTGTTTGATTATGTTATAAGATAATTTAGCATTTATTATATATTAGTAACTCGTAAATAAACATGTGACTAGTGGATGTTTGTAAAAAGCCTCCAAAGAATCGTCAATCTCTCTACCATCTTGGAGGTCACTCATTTTTTTAAGACAGAGGGTCTCAATCCAATATATTTTAAATTTATAAAAATTTAAATTCTCTCATAAAATTCCATGAAATATGTTGATTTGAATTTAGTGATTGTTACTATAAGTAATATTTGATTTAATGTTAACATTTTTGCCCCTTAATACGAACAACCTTTTTATATTTTTAACTTACTTGGCTTGTAAAATATGGTTGAGATAAACTTATTATTTTACTATCGAAACATTTTAGGTAAGTTTTCATTGTTTTAATTAAAAAAATGTTAAGTAAAAAAAATTAAAAATTTACAACACAAATCCTAAAAAAATAAAGATTTATTGTTTTCATATTGTTAAAATTTGAGTATAATCCTAATCATTCCTGGTTAAAAATCTAAGAACCACTGAAGGGAAAGAGGTTCCCACAGCCTTGGTCACATAGGCAAGGACTGTGGTATGGATAAAACCCTTCTGCAGAACAGTCTTGAAAAAGATAGTTCACGAAAAGAATAGTTGAGATCACCCTTTATCAGTTTATCAATCATGAGGTAAAATTATAATAACACGATCTTTTAAAAACCCTAATAGATTATGTAGAGTATTTAAATAAAAAATTGAATTAGTTTAAACTTTATAGTGGTAGCTGGGGTTGAGATACAACCAGTGGTGAGAGTGTCCTAGTGCAACCTAACCCTGGCTATAAGTCACATACTCTATATAAGACTGTTCCACGCACTTAAAATAAATTCTTTTGCAGTTTTTATAATCATGACCATTTATGTTTAAAACATATATTATTTGAAACAAATAAAGGTCAAGCTTAACTCATTCATATCAAGAATTATAATATTAAAATTTTAGAGGTTACGAATCTAGATGTTTGTTTTTTTTTACATAGGTAACTATGAGTATGGGTAATCAAATGGGAATCTTATAGAAATATGATTTATTTTTCTATCAATTGCATGTAATTGTAAAACTTTAAAGTATGATTTATCAAAATTAGTAAGTAAATAACTGTCATACAGCCAAAACTAAATATTTTGACCAAACTCTAACAAAACCTCTAAAATTTCTGGTTTTTGGCCTGCAATAGATCTCATGAGGTTAAACCTTTGGTTTTGAAAATGTACACTCTTTCAGTTTAACCAGTTTAACTTAAATATGTGGTTTACAATTGAGAAAAATCATCAATCCACTTAAAGGCCTAACATTCATACCTGAAAAAAGCTAAAATTGCAGTATTACATAAGAAATGTTTTGTAGTAAAAGTTTTTAATAGTTCAGAAGTGGTGATCAAGGGATATTTTTCTATACTTTAAATAATTTAAGAACAGATAAAATACCATTTCAATCTTTAAAGGTCTTATATTTATCTTTTAATAATAGTTTATAGAAATTTTTCATGCTCCAAAGGTTCATATTTAGCCAAATGCTTTTAAATAGCATACTATAAAATTAATGGTTATAAGGCACAAATACTTACATTTCCTGATTATTGACACTATATGAGACTGTTCCATGCACTTACAATTTCAAAATTATTGGTATTTATACAAAAATTAACACTTTAAATAAAAAAAATTTTGTCTAATTTTACTATTATTTATTATTCTATTCATTAAATTCTTTTGAAATTTTTATATTTCATGACTATTTATATTTAAAAACTTGTACTAAACAAAAAATTTGGTTAAGCTTTAAGGTCAGTAAATATACAACTTAATATATACAACTAAAACAAAATATCTTGATCAAGCCCTAGAAAACCTCTAAAATTTTAGGTTTTTGGCCTGTAATAGAATTTAAGAAGTAAAACCTTTGATTTTTTATACGTTTACTCCTTCAATTTCACCTGTCTAACATAAATATGTGGTTTATAATTGAGGATAATCTTCAATTTACTTCAAGGCTTGGCATTTAGACCTGAAATGTAGCTAAAATCACAGTCCAGCATAAGAAATATTTTATAAAAGTTCTAAATAGTTCATGTGTTGTGTTCAGATTATATTTTTTTATACTTTAAATCATTTAAGTGCAGATTATTTACCATTTCAATCTTTAAAGGTCATATTTATCTCTAAATAAGAGTTTATAGAAATATTTTTAGTCCTCGAAGACCAAACACTTTCAAATATCACACTATGAACCTTGTGGTTATAAGTCAAAAATATTATATTTCCTGATTATTGACACTACATGAGACTGTTCCATGTACTTTTCATTTCAAAATAATTAGTATTTATTAAAAAAATTTACCCTTTAAACTAAATTGTTAGACCGAACATTTTTTCTGAAATTAAGTCTTTTATTCTTCAAGTACTTTTAAAATTTAAATATTTCATGACCATTGATGTTTTCAACTAATGTAGTAAAATTAATTAAGATATTTTTCCTTGTGATTAAATTGAGTTAACTATCATCAATGTTACAACACTTACCTAATCTTGGCCCTTTACTCACTCTTGTCCAACATATCCCTTACCTGGTAAAATACTTAACTTTGGGATTTATCTAGTAATATGCTAGGTTTATAAAACTTGTGGATTAGATAATACATTTATATGGGCACTATAGAGAGAAGGGACAGGAACATCTAACAGATCACATGAGTAGTTTAGCAACTGATGAAGAGTGTTCTTACTGAATTAACAACTCACTAAACTACTTATGACTTATGTTGATTTAGATAAAGAAAGGTTTCAGATTGAAAGAGATGTGGGAAGTTAAAATTGAGTCACTCTTAGATTGCACTAAAGAAACTTGTGTATCAGGTCCAATATGTCAACTTTTTATCCAAGCCAAACCAATGGGATGACCTATTGTTAGCTATTATACACTCATCATTCACTCATATTTGGGTTAAAATACATGCCTAGGTGGTGTCCCCATCTTAATAATTAATTGATTGATTGATTGGTATTTGTTATCAGTAATAAGAAGTATTGAATTTAAAATTTTCAACATTAAGTGGTTCAATCAATAATCTTCTTTTAGAATAAAAAATAAGCTTCAGATGGTCCATATAGTTGGCATCAAAAGGTCAATAGTAAAATTTACTTGTAAACTTCCACGTGTTCCACAATATATTTGATATTGTTGGTTGTTTGAATTATTTAACAATTAATAAGTGTATAATAATTTATTTAAGTGTAATATTGTGAAGGTGTTATATTATTTTCTTTGGTCTTTATTGTATGATTGTTTTACCAATTGACTTTCAGAGTAGGTAAATTTTTCAAGATAAAAACAATTTAATACTTTATAAATAAAAATAAGGCATTTAATTCTTATTTACCTCTAGGTAATCCTTAGATATTTATAATTTCCTAAATATTTCACATCTTGTATTCACCTTTGGATAAGGCTAGTTATTTATTTTTTCATTCAACCTTATTTATCATTACCATATTCTTTTCTACTGATACACTGCATTATTTTACTGAACCTCTCTAACTTATTTTTGTAAGACCCATTTTTAAATTTAAATTATTATACTAAAATTATTGAATTACTTTTCAAAATGTATTTTATCTTAGAACTTTATTTCTCCTAATAATATATTTAAGTTTTTAATTTGTTTTTATGTAATCGATTGTTCATCTTTTTTTTAATCTCCAATGTAACTCTCCAACATAACAACTAAATTTAAATCACATATATAGTAAATGTTATATCAATATATTTTTCTTTACATTAAACCTTCAAATCTATCAGTTGGGTTATCATTTACCTTTATGTTTGGGCTCTATATCTAACAGAACACCTAAGAGGATTCACTTCTACTCTACAAGGGATTAACATCATAACCCTTACAACATTTACAAAGGATTATACACTTCATACCCTCACATGCCTCAAATTAAGACCAGAATTAGCAAAAGAGTGATAGTAGGTCCTCAAGGTGGTAAGGTCCTATAGTAGGTAAGGTCAATAGTAATCTACCTAGACTTCTTTGGTCATAGAAGTATCAATCTTACTAATATTACCAGTCCTGTGTCATCCTAGTGTTGTTAGTATGTTTGGATGTCTTTAAAGAGCCCATATTATCTTTTTAGCTGATAACAGGTGAGCTCGGGATAAACAATATCAAAATAGGATTTTTTATAACTGTGTGAAATTATTAGTTTTAACAATTGAAAAGAAAACACTTAAATAAGTTATAACTCATAAAGGCTTAGAACATTTTAGAATTTTCAGATTCCTAGGAGTTTATAATCCTCACTTATTTTTACTGTGTATTGTTAATCGTTGATATTTGTGAAATAATTCTAAAATCTTTAGTGATATTGATAATATTAAAATTTATATTTAGTGCCTTATCATCCTTATTTAAATATCCAGCAAAAATAAAAATAAATATGCTCAAATTTTAAGACGATTGATAATTTATTGTATCTCTGTTATTAAATCAATAGTTCTTCTTTCCACAAAATAGAAGAAAATTTATAATATGAACTAAATATCTAAATTTAAAAAATAACTAAGAAGAAGAATTAAAATTTTTAAAGTAAAAATTACAACAACTAAAACTCAATATCTGAATAAGAAAATAATCATATCCAAAGAATATTTAAGAATTTAGTCACATGTTTACAAAGTATTATTTTGAGTGGCAATAGATTATTAAATTTGAAGGAATAATTGGTTGAAAAACATACAATAAATGTTATTATAAGTGTTTAATTGTACAACTTCATTTTGTAACCTTAGTCATATATTCTATGGTCCTTTCTTGTTTCTTGTTTACTTATTTGGGTTCATGCTCACTTTTCCTTCTCTGATAAAGACATGTAGAATGTCAGTTCCACCTATAAAAGTGTTGAAATCAAACCAATGGAACTGAAAACATAAAAGAAAATCATTAATATTATATACTTAGGAATCTAGAATACATAGTTATACTGGTACACTAAAATACTGGGTACTTTCCTGTTAAAGGGAACATTCATTATTATCGATGATTTTTTTCTCGATATATCGATATTTTTACCGATCCATTACATATTAACAACTGATTTTGTTTAGGCTAAAATAGTCTATTATATGGATTAAGAAATGAAACTGTTCTAAGCTAACCTAACATAACCAACCAAAATTTGCTGTACTATTTAAAAATTCCTTTTGATAACAGAAAAGGCAAGTTAAACATGGAATGTTACACAGCAAGTTTGGTTAGTTATGTTAGTTTATTTTTTTAGAACAGTTTCATTTCATTATTGTTTGTTGATACTGAACAATATATATCGTAGTTGTCAGCTGATATGTTTCAATTTGTTAATATCGATATATCGAGAAAAAAATCATCGATAATAATGAATGTTCCCTTTAACAGGAAAGTACCAAATACGGTAAATATTTTGTTGAAATGTTTCTAGCAAAGATTTTCTGCTAATTGTTTCTGGGAAACTTTTGACTTGTACAACACTCTGTTTATTAACAATGAAAATGAATATTACTACTTAGAACATGAAGAAATTTATATTAAATTTTGATGAGGAGAATATTTTATCATGTAGGCAAGTTTTAGTTACACAATAGTCTTGAACATGGGTTTTCTATTAATATATGAATTAACAATGGGGTGAATTTGTAAATAAAAGTGATAATGTTTGTCATAAAGGGGGAGTTAAAAAAAAATATAAATATATATATATACAGTATGTGGTCAATTAGACTTGGGTATAATTTAAAACTTGTATTAACAAGATTGGAAAATAAAACATTTTAAATAGTTAATCTAACTGATTTTCTCAATCTAAATTAAATTGTTTATGTGAAGATTATAATATGATGTTAGTAGAATAAAAGTAGCAGGTTAATAAAAATTTCAAGTGTTAAGATAAATTATGCTAACAGTCAAAAAAGGAAAAAATGAATGGAATATAAGTTAGTCAGTTCTAGGGGGAAAATATTAATGTCTACATGACAGAACAAAAGTACATATTTAGTATCACCTTAACTCCACAAACATTATGCTTTTCAAATTGCCCAACCTAGATTAAAAAACATTTAAAAAATCTTAAGGACGCTGTCAGATTAAATGCTAGGGACTTTTAATTTGTATAAATTTATTTTTCAAACACAATTTAATGACTCTCAGATTTTGGAGATTATCATACCATTGTATGAAAAAATAACTGAAAGCAAAAATACTGTATTGATGAGGTGTAGGCCCTATATTAAATTGATTCAACATTTTTTACCACTTGGGTTAAGAGAAAATCATAAAACAAACTTTAGAACCTGTCCTCAAAAGATGAGAAACCCTGAATTTTATAGTATAAGGTAAATGCAAATCTTTTTAAATCTTAATATTTAGAAAGAGATCTTATAGGGCTAGTAAATAAATTACCCTAAACCAAGAAACTAGAGTTGAGCTAGTTTTTGTAAGCAACCCTAAGTCATTTATATGTCTTCTTATGTCACTAACAAGACTACAAGATTAAACCACTCATCCTATACTCATCTCCATTTATACATGGCTTTAAATAATTACTTTGTATGGTTGCCATTCCAATAAAAAGTATCAATACCCCCGCTGCAGCAAACCTGCAGACATAGCAAATTTCCATTTGCCTGATTGGATTTAAACTAAAATGTCTCCTTAAAATATCACATTTATTCCCTATTCAAACAGAATTAGTTTAATGAGTACCTACTTAGGTTTGCTGCAACAGGGAGGGTAATTTTTTTATGGAAAATGTTAAAAGGTACTGTGGTTTAGTAAGAAATTAATGTATTTTCCAAATTTGATCAAAATATTTTCATAAACAAGCAAACTACAACAGTTGACTTATTCTCCATAAGAATAACATGGGAATTTTAAAATTACAATTTTTTGAATTTTCTCCGTAACAATTAGCGCATAATAACGCTTCAATATACTAAATTATTTGTTTTTTTAAGCTCTACAAAATGGTTTAGAAAGAAATTGTGAAATTTGGTGTTTTTAGGGTCAAAAATGGGAAAAACCTATTTTTACCCCATAAAACCCCCCATAAACCCCCGTTCCCATAGTCCGATCATGCTGGTTCGCGAACTCGTTCAAGTTTATCCCGCCTTACACCTTCAAACCAAATTTTATCAAAATCGGACAAAAATTACTCAAGTTATCGTGCGGATGGACATATATATATATATATATATATATATATATATATATATATAGATATATAAAAATTTGAACGAATGGTGTTTTTGGCCTCTGGGGACATCAAAATGAAAAAGTAAATCGGTCCCGGGCCTAGGTCTTACCATGAGACCTACGGTAATAGCTACTTCCCTATAGGGAAATTCGCTAAAAAGTATAAAGTATTTAATGAATTGAGTCAATATTGTGGATACATGGTCCAAATACTGTAACTTAGTAAACATAATAAGTGAATTAATGCTTAGAGAATTATATAAATAACACGAACCAGTCTGACTCTTTTGTAAAATGGCAGCTAATAATAATATATTATTAAAGACAATAGTGTTGTTTAAATCAAGGTAAACAAGTATTATTATAATTTAAAATTTATCATTGGTAAATATTTAGCTAGCAATACTGTTTTAGGAGTAAAATTATTTAAAAAGGTAAAATTTTACTTTTCCTAAGACAAGATTAGTCTTTTTTCCCATTTGAAATTGATTACTAAGTAAAATCTATTTTAAATGTTTCTGTAATAGCAGCTAATGTAAACTGTAAAATCAAAATTGGATAGTAAAAACTGATATAGAATTTTCCTTAAGTATTTAAAGTACTCATTACCTTCAATAATAAAAGAATATTCATATTTTAATTAGATTATTTACTTTCTCTCACAAAATCAGACTCAGTAAAAACTGTAGACAGTAAAGCTTGTATTACTTCTTTCCACGATTACTAGAAAAATATTTTTCTAGTAATCGTGCTTCTCACTATATTTCTCACCATTGAGGTTCTTTAGAATCCCCTATGTTTTGCATTTAGGATCTTAAAGTAAATGATAAAGTTTTGCTTTTAGGTTAAGGTTTTATGATGTATGTTGCTAGACCCAGGTGGTGCAAAGAAACTAGCAGTTTTGTATTCAAGGACATTTTCTGGCAGTAAATAGTATTACCTGTCTATGAAAAAGAAGAATTATCTAAGGTGTTTGTAATTTTTAAATGTAGAAAAATGCTTGAGATATGAGCATTTACTTATATTAAAGAAAATATTTTAAAGTTGGTTAAACTTGAACATTTGATTTGAAATATAGTATTTTAACATTTAAAATCGATTCAGATAAAAGTCAAGATAGTGTGATAGCTGATTCTTTATCAAGAACTAAAAAAAAAAACAAATCATGACACTAGAAATATATGTAAATAATGTAAATATTATCCCTGGTATAGATGCAAATATGTTCAAACTGACTATAAACAAAATGCAAAATGAAGACTTAAAAATCACTCAGGGAAATTAAGAACTTAAATACTTTAACAAAATACTGTAGTGGATTTCCTTGAAATTAAATGGTACCAGAAGGAGAATTCAGGACAATCAAGTATTGTATTTAGCTTAAAAGAACGTAACTGCAAAATTCCTTCTGAATATGGTTTATAAGTATATTCATGACTCATATATATATAAGAGGTATTTTTGGAGTTTATAAAACTGTGAGTGTCTATTATGCCTATTGATTTCTAAAGCTGCTAATTGTCAATTTTATTCTAAAAGATAACTATCATTAAGTCTACAATGAACCTTTAGTTGCATCCTATACTTATAGGCCCTTGTTCAGAACAAAATATTTTAGTACTTGTTTATTAATACTAGTAAATAAGAACAGTAAGTATACTTACTCACTCAATTGTTTACTTACTGTTATTTTTATGACAAATGAAAACCTCCAGAACCATCATCTGTCTTATACCAGCTCTGAGTCTGCACCAATTCTTAGATATTTTGTAACATCATCAACCCATCATATCCTTGGTACTCCAAACAGTCTCTTGTCCTCTGAAGTAAGAACAATATACATTTTAAAAGCAATCCCCATTACATTTAACAAACAGATCATTATTTGTCTCATTTGAATGTTAAAGTTGTAAATAATTATATACTTGAAAATACCAATGTATTCCCAAATACTTCCAAAAATAAATCATTAAATAATTTTCGAAACATTTGTAGCAATTCTCATTTCTATATTGATTGCATTACATAAATTTGAATATTTGCCACTGTTTGTAAAGTATAAATAGAACACTAATATAGCATAATTTTTTCATAGTTTATTGACTTTTACACTTTGGAGGGTTACAACGATTGTATGAAACAATGATTACACAACTACATTACACAAGCTAAACATAGCCAGTCCAACACATATTAGGTATAATAATTAGGGTTACAAGTAATAAATATATTTAAAAACTTTTTATTTAGAATAATTGTAAAATATAAACTTTACATGATAAAATATCACCATCGCCACAACCACTCAAGAACCTCTGTTCATTTTCTAAGGATTGATCCAAAGGCTTTAAATTTATGTCTGAAATAAAGATAGAAGGCTTTTGTGGTTTCTAGAGACAGTATGTGGTTGAGTGTTAAATGGGTGTTCTACCACCCCCTATAAATTTGTATTTTTTATTATTTATCTTTAGCATGGTGTTTAAGTACATCTTATGATCTATTTAACCAAAAAGGTTTTTTCAATGTTTCCACAGTCCATACACAGCCTATTACAGTCTTCAAAAGACTTGTAAGTGTAATCATAATTTTCTTGATAATGATTTAAAATTTCCTACCTCAGTGTTGATGGAAAGCTTACACTTTCTTTTACATGAAATAAGTAAAGTTTTATATATTAGGTATCTAATAGCAAACATAAGGTTTCAGGGCTAAACATTACTAACTCCAACATTAATTTATTGGGAATTTTTATTCATTTAAAACAAGTTTTACAATATTTACAAAGTCATAAGATGTTGAGATGATGTTAAAACGTGATTGAAAGAATATTTCACGATTTAGCATGATTTCTTTTGCTTTGTTCAAAATATTAATTCCATTTGGGACGGGGAATCGTATTAAACAAGGCACAAACCCATCACTCTTAGCCTTTTTTAGAGATCTTCTAAAACGTCTTTTTTCTGTTCGAATACACTTATATTCATTCTCACTTCCTCCAGTTTCTCTAATCAAAATGCAGACAATATGTTGAAGATTGCCATCACGAGGGAACACGGTTACCTTAGGTGCTTGTTTCGTTAAAATTTCATTCAATGATTCATTTTTTTTACACAATAAATCATTTGTTTTTTTTAGGTCTGAATTTATTTGAGCAAATTGACGGTTGGATTCATAAGTCTGATTAAGTAACTGTAATAATTTATTATTTTCAGTTACAAGTTTATATTCTCTAAACTTACGTATGGAGGGCACCATTTTTTCAAATACCCAGTCCTGGAAAGTCTTGGCAATAGGGAGTTTCGATTTCAAAATCAAGGAATACAAACCTGGTTCATTAATATATATTGTATGTGGTTGAGTGTTGAAAGTGGGTGGTGTTTTGCCATCCCTTATAAATTTATATTGTGTTTTATATTTATCTTTAACATGGTCTTTAAGTGCATCTCGTGATCTAGAATAACCTAGGATTGTAGCAATTTCCTTACCTTTAAACCAAGGATTATTATTAGAGTCAAATAATACAGATACATTTTTATCATTGAACACATAAGAAGTAAGACGAGACATTATTTTAAAGAATATGTTATGTCAGAGTATGTCTGAACAGCAAAGGATCAAGACAGAGAATGAGAGATGCAACCCTAACAGTATTTATAACAGACATTTTGTAAATCCTCCCAAATATACTTTGATCACTTGTTTTTACAAAAGTTAAAAAAGAATAGAGTTTTATAATTTTTAAATCAACCTATTTATATACTGTGTCTTGGCATTTTTTTTACGATATAAAAAATATATGTATCTTTAGCCATAAATGAGGGTAGTAATGGTAACTGATAGTTATGTTTCAAACTGCATCTGATGTTCTACAGCATTTATTAGCATACCTTTTATTATAGTTGTTTCATATGCTGGTTATCACAACTTTTTAACACCAAATTTGTTATCAACCGCTATATTCTCCAGTCCAGTGATGTAGCTAGTTGTATATTCAGTCTTTTATATTCTGTAATCAAAACAGGATACAAAATAGCAAAATGCTCCTAATAGTAAATATAATTTTAGCATATGGTAAAAAACTAAATATGAGTTACCTGATGCTCTCTGCTAGCATCCTATCAATAATTTTTTTAATGGTTCCTTCATTTTTACAACAACTATAATGTTCTTTTGAGGTTTATTTATAACAATTTACATGTAAAATGTATATAATTTGTTTAAATGTATAAACAATTTATCATTTAACAATTCAAATATAAAAACTTAGACTAAATTTAGACTATCTTTTAAAATATTTATAATATTATATGTTTAATAAGACATTTTGAATTAAAAATTATCACATCATTTTAATAAAATAACATTGAAATTGATTGGATTGGAAATTTTTAATTTGAATCTAATTGTAAGTGAGAAAGGTTATGAAAATGGCTTGTAATGCCTAAATTCCAGTGAAAAATATACAAAAAACATATTAGCAATGTATTACAGAAAATATCAATTATAAAATGTAATGGTAACTTCTATATTAAATATTAAATTTAGACAATTTAATAATATGAGTACTCTAGCTTGGAAACAAACACAGGAATAGTTTATATGTTATATTTTATTAAAAATTTAAATGAGGGTTCACTAACTCTGTACTAAATTCTAAAATTGTATCTTAGTTGTAAGGGTGTAAAATGCAGGATATTAAATCCATAACCACTAGTTCTGTATTACAATGATAGTATAAGTCGCTGGTTGCGACCTTAGTTATTAGGAGCCATGGATAAATACAGCTTTAGTTAAACAAACTTAAATTTGAAATTATTTATGAAAATATCTAGACTTATCAAACCTTTCTATATATGTCTACAATTGTCTCACAATATTAGTCATTTGTCAAAAATTCTTAAGTGAATTTTTTTTGTTGAAAATAAAGAATGTAAAACATTCTTTTGAAAAATATATTTATGTCTGAATATCATAATGAAAGTAAGAGAAATAATAAAAAGAGAAATTAAGTCATAAAGAAAGTAAGAGAAACAACTAAGAAGAATAGAAAATATTACCATGTCTGAATTTATGTAAAATGGTAACATCTTTTGAAAAATCCTTGAGTTTTTAAAGTAAGAATTAAGATTCTCTGTTAAAATATCAAAGTTAAATAAAGAGTTGACCAACTTAAAAGAATACTAAGGAATATACTATAAACAAATGCTTTAGTTAAATAATTTAAGTAAAAAAATGAATGTACAACAATATTTCAGAGAATATTATTGTGTTAAGATATATGTAAGCTAATGTTTATTCACCATATTACAGAACACTGTTGATTAGGTTGATATATTCTTATATTAATTAAAAGGACTAAGATAAGGGAAGCATTTTTAATTACAAGATATTATTTATTTTTATTAAAGGAATGTTATAAATTGAATATGATATTTTCACTTTATAGTAAAAAGTAATACAAAATCACCATTTAAATCTGAACTCTAAATTTATAGTTATTGTTTTAAATAGTAAAAACAAATATAAATATATAATACTATACATTTAGATTTAATAATATTAATTTTGTTAAATAAGGATTCAATCTTAACATAAATGTTCTGAAAGAAAAATATTTAAGAGATGTCCCTAATGTGTATTCACCAGATGATGACATAACACTGGTGAAGTATCAATAAGAGCTAAGGTTGGGTTTATAGCTACAAAGGTTAATACATTTTAACATTCATTAAGAGGATTGAGGGAACGATCAGAATTTTGACAATAATTTACAAAATTACATTTTTAATAATCAAAGGAATTGTACGAAGTAGAAATTATTATGATAGATTCTAATATTTATTAAAGGTTTAAGATTTTGAAATTCTACAAAGCAATATTTGCATCAGTCGAAAGAATTCTATATAGTAGAAATTACATTACATAGTTTCAATTATTGTAAAGACGTAATGAGGAACATTAATTTAAATTACAATTCTATGTTTGAAATACTAAAACCAATTAGAGATGTAATTTTATAAATGAGAATTGGAAATTTTTATTTGTTAAATCAAAATAAAAATTGAAAAAGTTATTTAAAAGTACATTTCTAAATGAATAAGAAGAAGAGTCAGCATTTTATACAGTTGCTGGAATTCAGCTAAGGTTTTAAGTTCAAAACTGGGGACATAGAAATCTTTAAGACAAAACCTTTGCAATTTTTTCTAAGTTCAAAAATTTGGAGTTTAAAGTATATCTTTGACCAGCATGAAAAAAAAACAAGTTTCACTGCCACAGTGATATTGAGTAATACTCTTAAATTTGCTTAAGTTTTAAAAAATGCAGGCTTAGCAAATTTTGGAATAGTAGAAGTCACACGAAAATTGACAAGTCTCGTTGAAGAAACATAATGTAAGTTTTGAAGAAAAATCTTGTAAAATCCTTTCCGAGAAAAAAATAGGGACATAACAAACTTTAAGATAAAACTTTTGCAACTTTTCTAGGTTCAAAAATTGAGACTTTAATGTTTAAGTTTCAATGCTAAAATTTTACAAAGTAATATTTGCATCAATCAAATGAATTAATGACCATCGATAAATACAGCTTTGGTTAAAAAACTCAAAACTTAAATTATCTATAGAAAGATCTCAATTTAACAAACCTTTCCATATGGATCTAATTATACAATTGACTCATAACACTACTTATTTAAATGAGTTATTTCCACTATTGTGTCACAATATCAAAGTTAAAGTAAGAGAAAAACAACTAGGAAGAATGGTTAAAAATATTACTATGTATGAATTTATGTAAAGTGGCAATACAATCTTTTTTTAATCTTTGAATGTTTAAAGCAAGAATTAAGATTCTCTGTTAAAATATCATCAAAGTTAAAGAGAAATTTCTCCAACTTAAAAGAATATTCAGCAATAGGCTATTGCTAAATTTTCCCCATTTAACAATATTAATTTTGTTAAATAAGAATTCAATTTTAAAATAAATGTTCTGAAAGAAAAATACTTAAGAGATGTCACTAATGTGCATTCACTAGATTATGATAGAACACTTAGTAAAGCACCAATAAGAGCTAAGTTCAGGTTAATGGCTACAAAGGTTGACTAATTCTAACATTCATTAAGAGTATTGAGAAATAGGTTAAACATTTTATCAATAATTTACAAAATTACATTTTCAATAATCTAAGGAATTGTACGAAGTTGAAATTATTATGATGAATTATAACATTCAGTTAGTTTCAATTATTGTTGAACAGTAGTGAGGAATATTAATTCAAATCACAATTATTCTAAGTTCAAAATATTAAAAACAATTATAGATGTAAATGTAATAAAAATTGACGATTTTAATTTTTTAAATTAAAATTGAATCCAAACAGTTATTTGAAAGTATATATCTAAATGAAAAGTACTTAGAAGTGTCAGTATTTGTTTACAGTAACTGGAATTCAACTAAGCTTTTAAAATCGAAACTTGGTACATTTAAAGTAGTGGAAGTCATGAAAAACAACAAGTATCATTAGAAAATGATGTGAGTTTTAAAGACAAATCTTGTGAAATTATTTCTAAGTTCAAAATTGGGACATAGCAAACATATGTAGTAATATTTAAAGTGTTGATAAAATATTTACCGTACGTTTTAAAGAAAGATATTGTGCAAAATGTTTCTAAGTTTAAAAATAGAGACATAGCAAACTTTAGCACAAAAGTTTTGCAATTTTTTCTAAGTTCAAAAATTGGGACTTAGCCAATTTTAGACCAGCTTGAAAATGTTTAAGTTTCAATGCCACAATTCTATTGAGAAATACTCTAAATTTCAAAGAATAATATATACAGATGTGCAATCACCTAACTATGTGTCATTTCCGCACGACCGATTGATCAGCCACTGCAAAATGCCCAACTTTCATCGGGACTGCCACTGGCGCCGGCGCCCCAGACTAGTCTAGCCTACTCAATGTGTAACAACTTACCAGAGGAGGAGCTAGAAGCAAAGATGGCTGCGCTGCGATGGAAGGGGACTGAATGAAGGAACCGGTTACTTCCCCCACCTTTTATATAATTCCCAGTGGCTGAATTCCCTACAATTCATGAAATAACTTTTAACAATTGCAGTGTATTTGTAAAATTTATTTTAACAATTTCTGGAGAAAATTAAAATATGAAAGTACAAATTTAATTTGACACCTGTCACCTGTCGTCACATCAATCACTGTCAATACGTCTGGCACCACGCGCCTGTTCAGACGTCTGGCACCACACACCTGTCTAGACGTCTGGCACCACGCACCTGTCTAGACGTCTGGCACCACGCACCTGTCTCGGCAATGAATATAACACCTAGACTGGGCTGTCTGCATAATTAATTGCAGTGGTCTCAACACTTGCGCATTCAGGATCACCGAACCTTGGCGGGGATACCCGAAGTCACCTTGGCATGTTGCTAGTGTGATATTTGACTTGAACTCTGACAAGCCCAGTTCATGAATGTTTTGTGTCGCAACTAATAATTAGAAGTGATTTGAAGAGGTTTGCCAGGTGTTAGTAAATAATTGGAAAGAAATTTCAAAGACTTTATTCCTAGCCCTCTTATGTTTCTCCTAACTCCTCTGAAATATTGCAAGACTTTGGTTCTCATAGTTAAAAGTCACAGTTGTAATTCTGTTTTATATTACATCCAATCGTATCGCAAATCAATTATATCTCATATATTTATAAGTAGTTCGCTTAATATTAATATACATGCAAAAATATGCTTCTAACCTTTGCAAATTTATGAAATTTATGATATGGTGTTTATTCTTCCACCAGCTAAAAATTATTACTTTTTCATCAGGAATTTTCTTTGGTTAGCTTCTTAACATGATTTTAGTACATAAATATACAGATTTTAAAGTGGTATATACACATTTAAAAGATTAGTTTATACTTACTTAAGCAAAAAGTGATGCACTAAAAAAATTTAATAATCAAACGATTTTGAATTAGGAAAAAATTTAATAAATTGGTTTGAAATAAAAATTATAGATATAACTCCAAAAAGCAAACAAAATAATAATAAAACAGATAAACACCTTTATTCACTTTCATTTTTTTGCTGTTGCTGCCCTCATCTCACTAAGTTTAGTGCCCATCGCTGACACCAATTTTTTTTCTAAAATAGGATTCCAGCCATTCTTCTCAGCAAGTTTTTTACAGAATTCTGTAACAAATATAAATAAATCATAAAATTGAGTATATTTTTACACTGTTTCGTAATAATAGTATTATTTTTATAAGAACTATTAAATATACTTTCATTGTAGCAAACCTGTAGAGGAAGTGAATTTTTATTGGCCTGATTTAATTTTCACTTTAATATTTCCATAAACATGATGTGTTTCTTCCTAATTTTATACAAATAAAAAGTAATTGATACTTAGATTTGCTGCTACAGGGAGAGTAGTGAAGTGTGTATTTTAATGGTTTAGTATTTATAAATTGCCAAGTTTCATAAAAATATACCTCTATAAATTCCAACAATGTGTCCAAAAAAATAGTGTAGATGTATTTTAAGAATGTTATGGTTGTGGGGTTGAAATATAAAAAATCCTATTTTTACCCTATAAATCCTTTCCACAGTCCCATTATATTGGTTTATAAACTTGTTTAATTATATGTAGGTTTACACGTTTCTAATAAATATCTTTAAAATTTAATAATTTTTACTCTGGTTAACAAGCTAATATGCAGATATATAAATCAAAAAATATTCATACAATTCATATAACATTAAAGGTTTTTAGTTCTGGGAACATCTGAATGCACAAATGAATCCATCCTGGTCTTACAATGAGGCCTAATGGTAGTATGTGATTCTCTATATTAGTAATTTGTTAAAAGAAGGTTTAAAACTTGGACAAATATGGAAATAACATAAATCTGTTTATGTTTTACTAAACTCTGAAACAAACTAATAATTGTTAATGTGGTTAGAAAACTATAACACTTAACAATTCGTATCACCAAAATCCTGTAAAAACATCTTAATAAGTTAGAACCACAGTTTGTAAGTGTAGTATACCAACTAAATGACTAATTACTCCACTCTATTTTTTACAATTAACTTAATCAGATGAACATCATGTGCAAACAAACATCTTTTTAATAGAATAACATTTTTTTTAGAAGTATGACAAATTAAGTTTTTAAAATACATACCAATGATTGCTGAAATGGCATCAGGTAACAGTGCCTGTCTCTTAACGTTGGGTTTGCCAAGTGGGCCTTTGGCAATATTTCCCTTCACAGAGCAGCTTAATAGTGCTTCAGAAGTAAATATTGCTTTAAGGGCTGACCTCGCTGTACTTGTTGGTGTTTTCGAATATTCAATTAGGCAATCTTTAGTTGACTTTAAAATGAAAATTGGGCGGTTTTCTACAAGTCGTACCACCTGTAAAAATATAACTGTGTAAGTTACAGTGTAAATCATTCTACTTTTAAGTGAATATCTACTCAATTGTCAATTAAGATAGAGTGCCACCTAGATGCATATTCTAGCTTATGTATGAGTGTATATAATCTTTAGCCAAGGCCATCTATTAAAAACCCCAAAATCTAATTTTTAATTATTATCAATTATGAATTAATTGCAATTAGGACACCATCTATGTATGTCAACCTAAATATTAGTAATGTTTGAGTGTAGAATGGAGTGAGGTGATCTTTGATTATTTGTCACTTACTAAGATTAGCTGTTTCGTTAGCCAGGATCATCATAAAAAATACAATGATCAGGAAAAGCTAGATCCAGTTTCAAACCAACAAAAAGCTACTAACTTTTCTCAGAATCAAACTAGCAACTTTTTGATTGCCAAGGAAGCATTATTAACCAATCTCAGTAATGATTATAAACATTAACATTGATAGTTAAACCCGTTAGCTAATTTAAATATTATTTATTTTGATTGATGCTTGCAAATATTTTCTGAAATAATTAATCACTATTTATTTTAATATTTATTCAATTTGTTTATTTGTACATTATGTATGAATATCTACTTGTTTTATGGAATGAAAAGTACAACTTACATTGGCTTCTGTACCATCAAAACGTAGCTGAGGGGATGAAGAGGTGGGTATGCCTTCCACTATGGTTTCTTCATTGGTTTGATGACCAAATGGTGCAGGTGTTTGTGGTGAAATATTATATGAGACAGAGGCAGAAGTTGATGGTAGATTTAAAATTGAAGATGGAATGGTGGGTGAAAGGGGAGAGACAATCTGTGGATGATGGGAGAATGTTGATAATCCTGTGACCAGGGACTGTAAACTGTTGAGCATTTTTTTTTATTTCTGTAAATAAAAACAAACATAAATACTTGTATAAGTATATTGAATAAAAACCATAGGTAAACTCATCAAATAAACATTTTCCTTAAGCATTAAACTACACTAGTCTGTGAATTGTTATACAGTATTAATTGACATACTAATCAGTGTGTTGTTACAAAAATAAATGACCACAGAAAAACTTAAGAATGACTTTATAGCTTTATAACATTATAATATTTTTATAGAATCTTTAACGGTTTTGGAGGCTAGTACCCATCGTGGACTAATTTCACACAGCTGCTAAAGAATTATTTACCACCACAAAATAGTTTACAAAATACAAGTGGATTTTTTTATATCTAAGGTGTTATAAAATAAGAAAAATGTTCTTTTTAATGTCATGTTTGTTTTCCAACGGAGTCTTTGGAGTCTCAATGTCATATTGGATTTGCCCAGTGGAACAGTAATATTAATTTTAATTAGCCACCCAAGAGTTATTTACCATCTCAAACTATTTTTTAAACACTTGGGTGTTTGTAATTTAAATGACTACAGAGATAAGAGATTAGAAATTTGGTTTGTAGTAACACAGTTTAAATGCCTAGACTCAACAGAGTTAGGTGGTGCATTGTTTTTATATAGTATATAACACAACTATACAACAACTAAACTTACCAAGGGCCTCTGATCTCTCTTTTCTTAGCCTTTTGTTGTCAGTCTTTAATTTCAATATTTCTTTCTTGAGAAGTTCATTTTCTCTTTCAATATTTTTTAACTTATTCTCATCAGCTACATTTCTCTTATGAGCAATCTGTTGATGTTTCTATGAACCCAAAAACATATTGGTAGACATTTAATATAAACTAGTGGTCGTCCTGTGGTCGAAACTCGATCAAAAATAATTAATGTACAGACTACTCTGTTTTCTCCCCACACTGTAAATAAAACATGTGATTGAGATTCCTTCCATTTGTTTTGATTTTCTGTTTACATTTTGTTGTTATTTCGTCACCATCATGGCAACCCAGTTTTGTTCTGTTTAATTAAACAGATGAATAATTTGTATTAATTGCAGCTATTCATAGTAAACACATGATACACACAAGTACGGTGGGGCATATGGAAGATTTCTCAGGTGCCGTTTGACGCCACTAACTGCTGCGTCTGAAGAAACAGACAATTTTATACATATATTTTTTTTAATTAAACTGGCATAACCTAACCAAACGTGCTGATGATGAAAAAATCGAATGAAGGTTTACTAATCTAAAAAATACTTTTGTTCATAAAATAAAATTATAAATGCCTAAAATTTAATTTTATAATTTTTTTATTATAAAATTAAATTGTCATAACCTAACCAAACCAATCAAACTTGTTGATATGAAAAAAATTTTGACAAAAAGTTAGTGCTACCAGCGAGATTTGAACACGATACTTTCAGATAATCAGTCCGACATACTATCCACTTCACCACCGAGGCCGATGGGTCAAAACCGTATCGTTGCGGTAAAGGAGTTCCCTCAAAGTGACGATATCAGTTAGTGACATAAACGGCACCTGAGAAATTTTCTGTGTGCCGGTTTGCACACCGGTGCATTCGTTTTCAGTTTTGATAACTGAAGTGGAGTGATTGATTACATTATCATTATTAAGTCATTGAAAATTATGACTGATTTTCGTTTTTAAATAACACATGTATTACTTTGCAATTACTAGAATTCAATCAACAGGTGTACATATATTTCTTGTAGAACTGTACTCAGTTATTAGTATGCCCAGACTATAAAACAGGACATGTCCAGTAATATTTCAAATAAAATATGTCCACAGTGTACCTTAAGTTTTAATATTTAGAAAACTGTTTACTCAGGGAGGTATATTGTATATTTTAAAATTTTCTGGTAATATGTTTATTTATTACAAAACACTCTGATTGAGAAATCATCTTTAATTTATGTTAAACTCTAGTTCTCAAATCTTAACCCAACTTACTTGACTTAAGCTATTGGTAGGCTTATCTCCAAAGTTCTTCTCTTCGTTGTCAGACATGGGCCGCTTCTGCTTTGGTGTCTTCTCATTGCTTATTTCTTTGTTCAAATCATTATTTGAAATCTCCATCTTTTTTTCATCAATAGATGTCTTCTAAAAAAAATGAATTTATTTCTATAGTAACTTATAGGATGTGATAGATTCAAAATACTTATTTGACTAATGTGGCTCTCATTTCATTATTGACTATTTTGATCTATAAATGGTTACACGTATACCAAAAACATATCAACTTTTGTTTTTATAGGTATTACCTTGTTTGATATAATCATTAAACATGTGATGTAAAATTCTAAGGGGGGATAACCTAGTGTTCACCGAGTCAGGCCTGAAGTCAGCTAGGCTTACCTTAGAACCAGCCACACTCAAATTTCTTCCCTAGAGTGCTCAGAAGGAGCTGAGAAAAAGCCAGAGGTCGATAAAAATTGTCACGATTCTGACTGATCAATATATTTAAATTTAGTTGAAGGCTTAGAGCTCTAGAAGGTAGGAGCTATCTCATCCTCACCTTTACTAAAGGGTTTTAGTAAATGTTGCCTAACTTTTGGATTAACTCTGTAGGACCGACAAGTATTCTATCTTAGCCAATATAACTCGAATATAACTTTAAACTATTTGGCTAAAGACGTCTGTAAATAATATAAAACCAAATATAACATAAAAAACAATTCCTACAGAGTTGTCAGGGCCTATTTAATATAATTGAACGGAAAATTTAACAGGATAGGTTTAAAATAAATTCAATATTAATGTTTGTAGCTGATTGTTCAACTCAGCTTACTCCCAGAATTGATTCTTTCACCAGCCAAAGACAGGGTTTAGAACTCAGGCAATAAGTATCGGGATAGTAAAGCGGTGAATTAATCAAAAACTGGCTTTCATTTAAGCTATTAGTTATTTAAATCTGACGAGTTTCAAGCAAACGCAAGGTGAAAAACCGACAAACAGAATATTTTTCACAAGGTTTGAATATGATTAAAAATCAATAGCTCCAGTATTGTTCATGCTTTCTGTTTTAGACTCAAAACGATCAGTAAATTATAGGCTTTAATTTGAGCAATTGATCATTTGAATCAGTTGAGCTCAAGATACCGTATTACTTAATCAAAGATCACAAATTTGATTATTTCTCGGGTATTATATTTATTTTAACGCTACGCTTGCTAGTTAGCACTACTCTCATTTAAAACAACCAGTTGATCATTTTATACTTTCTTAAATACTTAAAGTATAATCACTTTTTAAAATTTGCTACAATTATAAAGGTTTACACCTTTATTTTATCTTGATTATTCTTAAAATAATATAATTCCACAAACATTTACCCTCATTTACTCTTATTTCAAACAACAATATGATATCCTGATTCAAAATATAAGATCCAATGTTGCATGTATATATTGTGTAGAAGTAAACGAATTGTAATTTTGTCCTGATTTGGCCCAAAAACCCAGATCTGATTCTTTAATTCTAGATCTGGTTGATATTTCCAGATCTAAGATGTAAAGCTAAATGGCTATATCTAGACTTGTTAAACTTTTCCATTGGGGTATATAATTTTACGATTGACTCAAAAGTTGAAACTGTGATTGAAAATAAATACTGACCTACAAAATGAATTTGTAAATTTATAAAGAAGGATAATGTGGCCAGCTAAAACAATACTAAAACTCAAACTCAAACTTAAATGCAAAGTCGTAAAACATGGTTTTATTTAACAAATTCCCAGGTCAAATAATTTATGTTCAAAGATAGGTCTTAGAAAAAATATTTAGTGTTAAAATATAGAAGTTTAAGTAGAAGTAAAATGAATAAAAATAATACTTAGTAATATATATTGCTAAGTTTAAATTAATGCACCCAATAGTAGACTGTTAGACTTACTAATAAAATGTCGAGGAATTGTGCTTAACTTACGAAGTTTAAAGATAGAATATAACAGAAATCTTAATACAAGTCAAACTATTGATCGCAGGCTGAATCTTACTAATATTATAAATGAGAAAGTTTAGATGTATGGATGTATTTATGTTTGTAACAAGAAGTAAACGTGAAGGATAATGGTCGGATTGGGCTGAAATTCGGTGTGATGATAGCTTAAATTCCCACATATTTATCTATATTGTTTATTAACAGGGTGCAACACTATTATTTTTTTATAATTTATGACAACATCTAATTTAAACCAACTAGATTATTGTTTTGGGGTGGTTTTAAGATTGATTACCTTTTAAAATTTAGTTTAATGTGCACAAGTTTTCAAAGTCATAAAAGCATTTGAGTCTCTAAAATCAGCATTCTCTTACATTGTGACAGCTACATTACTTTATGAAACTAAGCTGTGGTATATTCATTTGTTATGAATATGTAAGTTAAATTTATAAAATAATCTAAATTTTTCTAAGTAGTTAAGTTAAGTAGCTTTTCTGTATAGCTTCAAACTTGAGTAAACTGTATCAAAGGTGAGATTACAGACAGAATCTGCCCAAGTGTGGTGTAAAACCCATCTAGTTTAAAAAAATAATATATCTGCTTCAGTAAAATTGTAAATAAAAATTTTATAACATTTAATTTTTATTCTTAAGCAATAAAATTTACCATGATAGAAAAATAAAATAAATATGGTATCTATCAAATGCTTCATTTCAAATTTTAAACTTGTAAAAAATAATTCAATCAATCAAATATTTAAAATAGAAAATAATTTTTCCACTCATATTCACAACTCATTATGTCCAAATTGAAATCACACTATTAATATTTGATCATGTACCATATACTATATGATAGACTATATTCCAAGAGATTTTGAAGCGGAACAAAAAGTCTTTATACTCATTTCTAACGACATTGCAGTATGACTTTGAGGCAGTAATTTTAAGTCCCCATGTCGCATAAAATTTCATCTCAGTATTGAAGATTGTCATGAGGCCTCAGTAATATATGTT